ACACACGAGACACAGTTGCGGAAATCGCACATGCACTGATCAAGAATTCCACTGCATTTCGAATGCGCGACTCGCGCAACCGAAGTATGAATGCATTCCGAAGGCGTGGCTTTGCGATGGTGATGTTACATGTGCTGGTGGTGAAGATGAAGCGGCTGATTTGTGTAAGACAGAGAAGAAGGTATGGTTCAAGTTGTTCCTCAGGGTTTCTGGAGAATAGGTACGGTCAGAGCAATCACTTTAGGAATGTAACAAAGGGGAATTCCGATGTCAAAATCAGCACTGCATTCATCAAAGCTGGGAATGTGATGGCGACAATGACTGTTTGGATGGATCTGATGAACATGCTAATTGCAGTAAGTTTATGAAGCTGTTCTGGGAGTTTTTCATCAGGGTATCCAAAAAAGAGAATACCAATTTGTATTCCTTGTGGTACTTCCATTTTTGTTCTAAGGGTTTCAAAGTTGCTTCAATAGACTTAAACATTTGGTGAAAGGTGTTTTTGTTAGTTTTACAGGGATAAGAAAAACTGCTGCGCAAAACATAGAAAATGCCAAGCTGAAAAAATGTTGTAGTTCTTACAAACACCGTTATGATCACCTACCCATCAATTATTTCCAGCATATTCATCATGTCAAGCCGAATTTTGGCAATGCGCCAATCACAAATGTATCCCGAACTCGTGGCGATGCGATGGTAATGACGACTGCGATGATGGTTCTGATGAAAAGGATTGCGCTCAAGCGCAGAAGGTAAGATCCTCAGTTTTTTAGTTTTATAATTACCTGATCGTAATACTCATATACTTCATTATAATGAGGTTTTGAGAAGAAAAAAGTTTTTCTTATTCATCTCTTTGACTTTCTAGGATATGGGCACAGGGCATGCACTTTGCCCCAAGGGTCAATATCAATGCTTATCTGGGCAATGCATCGATGAGAAGAAGGTTTGTGATCGCAACTATGACTGCCAGGATCGCAGCGATGAGAGCACACAATGCTGTAGGTTATATCTCCCCTAAATCTTCAGAATATTTTTCAAGCTTTGGTTTTTATTATTTCAAGCGTTTTTTTCAGTCATCGATGAATGCGCACAAGCGGACAAACCACTTTGCGAGCAGAAGTGCGTGGATCTACCAATTGGTTATCGATGCGATTGTTTCGAAGGCTTCGCGATTGATATGGATGATAAGAAGAGCTGTCACAACGTTAACGAATGCTATGGTAAGTTCTTTTTATTTTATTTTTGAGAGTTTTCAAAAATGTCGCTTACATCTGACGACGGCTATTTTATTTGTTCCCTATTTTAGAGGGCATTTCCGGATGCAGTCAAACCTGTGAGGATAAGATTGGATCCTATAAATGCGGTTGCGTTGATGGTTATCAGCTTGCAAGAGATGATCACAGCTGTAAGAGAATAGATCCGGTAAGTGGGCTGCTTATTATTTTTATTTATCACTTGGCTATCAGGCTGTCACTATTGTCAAGCATACTTTATCAGTTTTCATGCCTTCGCACATGCAATTAGCATCTCAATTTGTTTCTTGAATTGTCATTTTTTTTACTTCAGTTGTTTCAGAAATGTGTTTCGCTGCCTAATTGTTCATCTCTCTCTCGTATAATTCATTCGTATTTTCACAAGCTTATCTCATTTTCTTTTGTTTTAATTCTCTCTGCCAATAATAGTGATTTCACCGTACTTAACAAGTAGACAATCTTTTCATTAACCTTGCAGTTGCCAAAAAATTTCTCCATCTTTCTTACAGCCCGATGTCATACTGGTGCCACCTTTCAATTTGACTTTTTGAATGTCATCCATTACTAACGAGTCGTTCCACTTAAAGTTGCTGATTTGCCACCGACATTGTTACTGAAATTTTGTCCCAAATTCCATTTTCCTTTGCGCATCATCCCTATAAGACCATCAAGTAATACTTTGCCCTTTATCCCTTTTGAGCTGTCTTTTTTGAACTTTGGTGTAATTTAATAAATATCCCGCACCGCTATGATTATTCCTATATCAGTACATATCCCATTCCTTTATATTTTATTGCTTAAATCCTTATTCAATCCTGTTCTCCTATTGCCATAACTTCGTCACTTTCTCACATTAGTCATCTGCTTCTCTCCACATTTAAAGTAGTTTTCGTTTCCTTCTCCAAAACCCGTTGGTTATTATTGTTTTTCTGAGATCGGTTATCTATCAGCTAATCGTGTCTCTGCCAATCTTCCATATGTCAATTTGTTATGCTTCTGCTGTTCATCCGCTATTGTCTGCTCCCTGCTTCTACCATCCATCTATCAGTAGGCAAAAATGTCCTCGTCGGGAACGTACTCGAACTGTCAATTTATCTAAAGCGGAATTGGCAAACCTATTCTAAAATTACCATTCACCCCATTACAGGAACCAGAACCATGGCTTATGCTTGCCAATAAACACTAC